AATATTATTATACCAAATTTTATTTATATATTTTAACAATTTAAAAAAATAGATCAGAGCTAAAAAAATGCAAAAACGCAGACAAATTTGCCTGTGTTGGCCTACAATCTAAGGGATAAGACTTTAGTATAAACTTACAATAAGACTACTAAATACAGAAAACCAAAAAACTAAAGAGATAAAATTTCATTTAAAAATTTCTGAATAAAAAAATAATACAAATCTTCAATGATATTGTCAAACTGATAGAAGCCCAAAAAATCTCAATAAGAAATAGGCAGATATGCAACTAGATAACAAAATGTATAGAGAAGCATATAACTAACCAGGCTACTAGAATCATTAGAAAAAAAGAATCCCAAAGGTATACTGTACTGGACTATCTAAATTGGAAGTTTGAAGAATCTATCAAATTCTGAGTTAGATAGTAGTAAGATAAAGAGAAGAAGTTAAAAAAATAGGTACTAGGTTTGGATAAACTTTACAAAAGTAGAAATAATATAACTTAGTAGTTAAACAGATAACCTCTGTAACTGCAGATAATTATAACATATTATATAAAACTAGGTCAGCTGTATATGAAACACAGAAAGTTTTAGTAATAATACTTTTGAAAATATATTATATAAAACAAGATATAAGATTCTAAGAATATAAATAAAAGTATTTAAATCTTTTTAACTAATATATATACTAGAGATAATCTAATAATACAGTAAGAATTATAGTACAAAGAGTATAAATAGGCAATGCTCCTAGTTGAGTTACAGATAAGACAATTAGTATAGAACTATTAACAGACTACTTAAATTATACACCAAAAGTATATATATGACTAGTTGTATTCTTTAATATAAGATAACTTTTTTAAGGCTTTAGTTACAAGTTTCTATGTTTTAATTACTGAATAAAAATCCTAGTTTCAAAAAAGACTAGTTTAATATCAAAAAAAAATAAAAGACATATATTATATATTATATTTGTTCTATATCTAATTTTAGCTAAATGTCAATATGTTTAATATTATTAAACTTTTATTTAAACATTTACTCTATATGTTTAGAATATGTTTAATATGTTTAGCTTATGTAAAAATATATATACTCCTAACAAAAGTTATCAAAATTTTATAATTACAAATTGATGATTATTTTTTTTATAAATTTTTCAATTGCAATTTCTTAACAATCTATTTAATAATTTGGATTAATTATTTTTTATTTAATAGTAAAATAAAAAAACTATTATTTACAGGTATTAATATTATATAAGGTATTTATTAGCTTTGATTATAGCAGAAACATAATAGGCATACTTTTAACAAGATTTTTAAAAATCAATTTATCAAGATTAAATTATTCTTTCTGTAGCAAATTGAATAGTTCTAACTTACTGCTTGGCAGAAGAATATGATTATGAATCTAACATTCTAATTCATCCCAAATATGTTTAATGAGATTAAGATCAAGAATGTATGAAGGTTAGAAAAATTGATTGATATTATTTTCTTTAAGCCAATCTATAATAAAAATTTAAATATAAATTCTTGTATTGTTATCTTAAAATAGATAATTTTTTTTGTTAACAATGTTTTTTAAATCTCTTAAAAAAGATAATAAACAATTATAAAGAACCTTAATATAATCTTTTGAATTCATCTTACCAAAAACATAAACTAAAAGTTCAAGATTATAATAACTAAAATATTACCAAACTATTACATCCCATCTTTCCAACCTAAATATAGGAACCAAACAATTTATATCATATTTTTTCTTTAGTTTTCTTTAAACATACATACAACTATTCTTTCCAAATGCTTTAAACTGTAATTTATAACTCCAAACAATATTTTTTCTCTTTTTATTCCAATGTTCTCATTCTTTAACCTATTCTAAATAATCTAAGTAAGCAACTTTATCTACAAATAGTTTTCTTTTTCTAGCATGACCAAAAAACCCTTCTTTATAAAAGTAATATATAATATATATAAACATCTTAATAGACATTGATTCTATAAATTTAATTGTTAAAACATTCAAACTAGTCTTTTTATCATCTTCTAAAAAATGTATAGAATAATGAAAATCATGTTCAGTTATTTTAGAGATTATTTTAAAGTAAGAAGAAGATTTAACTTTTCTTTATTTTTGTAAAAAAAAATAATATCATAGATGATGCTTTTTGGTAAATCTAAGGTTTGTATGATTTTTGTTAACTGCACACCACTTCTCCAAACACTGACAATTTGAACATGTTGATCCTCAGTAAATTGTTTTCTTTGTTTTATGATAAAAAAAAAAAAAAAATTCCCCTCCAAAAAAATAGATCAAATAGACTGACTTCTGGTGCAACTGTAAAAAAAATTGTATATTTATAGTAAGAGATTTGTCTCAAAAAAAATTATTGTATGATGTGAGTCATAACTGTCGATTGTACATATTTTTGAAAATTCCGGTGATCTTTGTCAGGGGAGTGTACATGTTAAATTACAATGCAATCTATATGTAATGTAAATTATAATTTATACTGATTATGCCAAAATGATTTGATTAGTTTTATGAGGTGTTCCAGAAGTCATAACAATCATAGTAAGACACTCGAAATAATGCTGCGAGAGGTGTTATTTTGAGATGGTACAGTAAGTGTTTGTTATGCTTACAAAGAACTTTTACATATCCACTTTATACTACATAACTCGTTTTCACCCGGGTACCCGATTTCAAAGTTACACGGGCGACCCGGGTGTTAAATTTACATCCTCTAAAAAAAATCATTTATAAATTGTGTAACTATACAGAAATTGAACGGTTGCTCCTGTAAATCATTCCGTAATTACGTAATAATTTACTATTATTAACTTTAATTTATTACATTTTCGCAACAACGTACGCACGTACGTGTATATTAGGCTTTTAATTAATTTTATGCTATCCACGATCACGCAATTCATGCAACGCGAATTGCCGGGATACTATCGAACGTGTCGAGTGTATTACATATTAGAAAATGATAATGAAGGCTTATACAAAGGGAAATTTTTAACAAATTTTCGCAATAGATAGCCGTATGGTAGCCTATGAAAATTTATAACTTTTTTTTTAAATCCAGATTAGCGGAATTGAACATTTAGATAAATTAGTAAAAAAAAGGGTGTTTATTTTCACAATACAAATAATAATGTGCTAAATTTTATGTTTTCTGTGTAAGATTTTAGAGGTTACATCTTGACATGGGTGACCTGGTTTACTATAACCCGGTTCTCTAAACTCTATTCAGGTTTAGGCTTTAAAGCACTAAGACTACTTTCTTCGTTGTCGTCGTCATCATCATCGACCAACTTATGGCCCAAACTAAGTGCATCCTTCATATTATAATGTTGAGCTCTGAGCTGTGCAAATTTACGACGCTTTTCCTTGGCTAGATAAAGTAGAAAATTTAAAATTGATCAGTAAAAATCATTCAGAATAAACAAATAGTCAGTTAATTATGTTAAAATTAAAAGAGTGTCATACTTTCTTCGTCCTCTTCTGAGCTTTCAGTTTCCCAATCGTCCTTTAGTGAATCAGGGAAATGTGCTGATGATGGTGAAACGGATGAATGAGATCCCGCTGGGGGAGATTCTCTACTAGATCCCAAAATGAGACCTGGAATAGCTTTTAACCATATAAAAGTTAGACTTCTTAGAACATAAACCAATTTCACGGATAACACGTCAAATTCGATTTCATTGAAATAAAAACTTACTTTGAAGATCAGTCATGATTTCATCAGTTTCTTGATTGTAATGAATGTATGGAGTTTTGGGTTCAGTAATTTTCATTGTCGAGTTTTTTTGTCCTTCTGTAAGTTGGATATTGTCTTCATCCCATTTTAGCCTTGTAAAAAAGTTTATTACATTAATGCTGAATTAATAAGCCAATTTAAGTATGAGAATGCTTACCTGTTTTTTGGTTGAAAATTTAAGGATGGTTTTTTGAGAATTCCTTTAGGTTTGTTCTCAAATGTCGCCATTGACACAGTGTTGTTGACTGGAAGTTGGAACCCCACTGGACGTCCAGATTTTTCCAGTGTTCCCAGTGGTTTCCAGTGAGAAATCCCACTGGAACAGTTTTTTCACTGGAACCATATTTTTATTGGCCAATAAAAAATTTTAAAAGTACTCAATAATATTATCCACTAAAAACGCATCTGTTTTCACGTGACCGACACTTTCATTTTACACTAGTAAAAATCGACGTGTTTAGATGAATTTTTGGATTAATTAAATGAAAATTTCTCACGATCAAAGTCAATTGACACACTTTATTAAGCAACTTCGATAATGAGATGATTCAGAATTCAATTATGATCTACACTCTCCAGAAATAAAAAACGAATAGATTAGAAGATACATACGATAAATACTGTACGTATTTACACTATATCAATCACTATATCTAGCTTTTATTAAAACCGACCTAATTTACCCCGGCTTCTATATTTATTTCAATAACATCGGTTGTATTTAACATTATAGTGCTATATCTCAAAAACTAGCTAATTAGTATACTCAACATCTTAAAAAAAAATCCATCACTAAATTATGGTAGTTTGTTAGAAATTATAAGCCACAAAAATATCTTTAGTTTTCAAAATCATTGTCTAATAAAAAAACTAATTCATCGATCGGGTACTTATAATTTTTACACTAAAGATTTTGAATACAATCCTCCGGACAATAATAAACTTTGGTATCTTAGAAACAAAGCATTACAATTAGCTAATTCATAGCACCTTGCCTATATTCATTGACCAGTGAAAATGAATGTCCGTTATGCTTACTACTACTGCATCATCAATCGTGAAAAAGACGCGTAGGCATAAAGAACGCGCATTAATTTAAAATCATATACTACATAGTATTGGATCCAACCAATCAATTCATATTTAATTTTTTTTATAAGAGGTTAATTGTATGCACAGGACTTTTGAAATGGCCCCTTTTATGTGGGTATTGTTTTGCATTATTACAATTCTTATATGGGAACTTCTAAAGGTTATTGCGAAGTTTCTGGTTCGCCATTCAAGTGAATCTAAAGACAACGTCGGTACGTTTGAAGACATTGATGCTAGGTTCGTGTGTTTTTCCGGTATATTTAAAAACAGACAGTAGCCTTGTCTTATAATTATTTACAAAAGAACTATTTTTGTTTGCAGTATTAATTGCGATGTTTTAACTCTCAACCATGGAATTACAACCATTCTACACCAGTTGAGGCATCGTAAAATTGGTTCCAAGAATTTCCCGGTGGTTATATCAGATGTATCAGATGTATCAGACGCGTCAATATCAGAAGTATCAGAAGTATCGGATGAAGTAGTGACATCGGTTCTCGCAGATTCTTCGAAAACTCCGATAACATCAACACCAGAAAGACTATCTTTGATCCGTCCAAGTAGCTACCCTTTTCCACCAGGTATAAATCCCTGGGGGCGTGGTAGACCTAAAGTACAATTCAGAAGACCCAAGAAGCCACTGCGAGTGCTCTCTCCAGCAGAACAAGTTGCTAGAGAACTAAGTAATTATAATGGGGTTTCTTCATATTATTACTAATAACAATTTTTTTGCTAGTTCCAAAATAAATATTATCTTCTTATTTGAAGGAGTACCTATTGAGGTCATAGAGATTATTCCATCCGATAATCCATTTACTGTCTATAGACTCAAAAAAAGTAAAAGTTGTGGATCAAATAAAACATAGGTGATTTCTCGGCAAAGTTTCCAGAAAAAAATATGGCTTGCTATACAATCTACGTTACCGTAAAATCTTGAAATAATGAGCATGGGCGGGTTGTTCAATATTAAACGTTAAAATTGGCCATTTTTATTAAATGTCATGAATATACTGAAATGAGGATTTTTGCATTCTATGTCAAGCAAACTTCGACCTCCAACCCTAAAATTTGTGTTGAATAGATGATAATTTTTAATTGTTTTTATGTTTTACATGAAGTTGTCTGAGAATGTTGATAAACATATATATGTATGTATATATATCGATTTTTTTAAAAAAAAGAATCGACTGAGTTGACAAAGTAGATAAAATCAATTCAAATAAAGACATAAACACCAGAAATTCTATCATTTTTATTAATATAAGATTGAGTAAATATTTTATTAATCAGAAATATTAATCGGTATATATGCCATAATGTTAGTATTAATATTAAATGATAAGAAACTTTTTGCAAAAAGTATATATCGATTTATTATCCTACGGAAGCCACGTTACTATTAATAGATACTAAACATCAAACATAGGATATAGAAAAGAAATTAGGAATAGTTGTAAAAGAAGATAAACACATTAAAACTTAGAAGCCTAACCAGTTTGATCCGGTTCTACTAATTCTACATTTTTATCCTCAGACAAAGCTCCTACAAATTCTTTAGGCATTTCAACAGCAAAGCCCTTCATTATGACTGAATTATATACTTTATAAATATTTGCACCAAGACCAACGAGATTCAGCCTTAAATTCTCCATATCTTCAGCAGATATATCTTGTTTCAGTTTTACAATATACTTTACGGTTCCTAAGGACGAAGAAACTAAGATTTTTACTTTAAGAGGTTAACAGTAAAATAAAATTTCAATCATACTAGGTTTCTCATTGGCGATAAGATCATCGTTCATAGTCATAATACAAACAACTGCGAAAGTAAGTATAGACAAAAGAACGAAAATCGCAAATTTGTCTCTTTTTCTTAATGACATCGTTAGTTAACAGCCACAATTTTATCGCTATAAAATTTAACTAGGTGTGTGACAATAAGATCATGTGAAAACAATTGATTATCTAGCATTAAACATATCAGATCACTCTTTGATCACCTTCATTCTTGCGCCAATCGTCTTTCCTTGACTCTTCGAGCAATTTAAATTTAAAATGGCTGGAACAGGCCAAAGAATCAATATTTTTCCCACTAGGATGTACAGTATTAATACTAATTATATAGCGATCTAACTATTTCGCCTCTACACTGTATCATTTATTTATTTATTTTGGTTTTTTTTTGTCTCCAGGGCTTTGACTTTAATGAAAACAAAATTAAAGGGTGCTCAAACGGGGCATAGCTTATTAAAACGTAAGAGTGAAGCTCTCACAAAACGTTTTAGAGCTATAGTTCAAAAGATTGAAGATGTAAGTGTGCCGTTTTTTTCGGATTTTACTACAGTCAGGTCTTGATATAATCATGGGAAACAAATTTTGCTTATAAAAAGTTGTGACTATATGAATGTAAACTTTATATAGTTTAAATAGCTAGGACTAAGAATACTACGAATAGTGGGATTCTAATAAGGTTGTGACTATATCAAGAGTGACTATAACAAGGTCTGACTGTATTTTTTTAAAAAAGATTTGATCAAATTTTTGGACATTTTAAATTCACACTGCTTATGTATTCGTAAAGGCTAAGCAGAAAATGAGTAAAATAATGCAAGCAGCTTCTTTCTCGTTGGTCGAGGTGGCTTACATTGCTGGTGATATTAAGTGAGTGCCTCGTTCATATCATGAATTTCATTGTACTTCTAGATTTAATACTAAGTAAATGTCGTAAAGTTATCAGGTTCAAGAGAGTGTTAAAAATGCTCAATTACGTGTCCGCACAAAACAAGAAAATGTATCTGGTGTCATGTTACCTGCATTCGAATGTTATATGGAGGGTACTAATGGTTGGTAGTTTTCGATTTATTTATTGTGATTTCACATATGCTAATTTTTCTTATCATATAAAAACTCTGAATATTTTTTATTCAAGCTTTTGAATTAACTGGTCTTGGACGTGGTGGTCAACAAGTTCAAAAATGTAAAGAAACTTATGTTAAAGCGGTTGAAACTTTGGTGGAATTGGCTTCACTGCAGGTATAATACATTCAAAAAATACAAAACGTATATATATGTCATTTTAGTAATTCTCAGATTTCCTTTAGACAGCCTTTGTTATCTTAGATGAAGTCATAAAGATGACAAATCGTCGTGTCAATGCAATTGAACATATTATTATACCAAGAATAGAAAATACTATCAAATACATTATTTCTGAATTAGATGAACAAGATCGTGAAGAGTTTTTCAGGTAAATTATTACAAATATCTTATTAGATAAATTTATTAATTACTAATCACTATCAATGCTTTTAAAAGATTAAAAAAAGTACAAGGTAAGAAGAAGAGAGACCAACAGGCTGCCGACAAGGAGTACGGGGTTGTAAGCAGTGGTGAGTTACTTGATGAATTGTACTGTTTTACTTGAAATTATTGTATCGATTTTTATATGTATTTTTTTTTTTTTTTAGATAATTCACAATACGTTCAACCTGTGGACATATTGGAAAGTAATGATGATAGCGATATTATTTTTTAAATTGGACGAACACAAGTTTAAACTTACTTCTTTGAGATAATAACTTTTCAAGAAATTAACATTAAACATGTAGAATTTGATTTACAGTATAACAATTTTATTTATTTTTGCAAGAGAAAAAACATAGTGTTTTGTATTATATATTGCTAATTATAAAAAAATCGCATATCAATTTTTATAATAAAACAGGTTATAATTATATCTTATATAAATAAATTTGGTATAGATATTATCTAATTAGACAAATCTGTTTATGACACAGAAGTGTATTAATAAGATTTTATCCAATTATTCAAAATCTTAGAAAATACATATATATTTTCTTGAATAACTTTACCTACGTAGTGTAATATCGTCAATTTACTTAGCATAATGTTGACTTTTATATATAGTTACAATATTCAATTAGAAAAAAAATTTTTAAATTAATTAAACATTATAGCTATATAAAAGTTAAAAAATTATACTACGTAGATCGTTGATACTGCATTAAGCTATTCGGAAGAGAAAAATACATCTGGATAAAAGTTTTATTAATACATTTTTACAATTTATCAGTCACAAAAACATTTTTTCTTATAAAGGCTCAAAATGTTGTTTATAATAAAAATTAGAATAAAAAACAAATTTATTATAACTTGAGAGTTAAAAGATTTTTTCAATTTAAGTAAATTTTGCAATTATATTGAACAAAAAAAAATTTTAGCTTAAAAATTTTGTTAATTTTATACAATTTGAAAATGTAATTTTGTTAAAATTGTTTTTTAATTTTAAAGTAATTATATATAATATGTAAAAATGTATTTTGAATAATTTTACTTAGATGTTAAAAGAGGTTATTTTAGCAAAAAAAAGTTAGTTATCTATATGTTAAATTTACTTATTTATATAAAAGATTTTTTATTAAAAATAATTACAAAAATATTATTTTTAATATTATTTTTAATAAGTAAAAAAAAATCAATTTGAGTATTATTAAAAAAAACATATATACATTTTTTAAATATTTATTTTTAATAAAAATATTTTAAAATTAATTTAATATTTACTATTTTTTTTTGTTTTTAACTCTTTGGCAGCCTTGCTGAAATCCTTTATTAAGAGAATTGTATACATAATTATACAAATATTAGCTTAATTTTTAGGTTTGACATCTTCTGGCTACTGTATTAGTGTTCAGAAGTGACTTGTCACACTAGAGTGAGTTTATACTCATTACTAGAAGGCTATTTAGGCTAGCTTTTGAGGCTGTTTCAGTAAGGCTTCTTGTTATTACTAATTAGCTTTCTAACTATATTCTTCTATATATCTTCTATATTTTCATTTTTTAATTTTTTTTTTCTTTATATTTTTTAATTTCTAAGTTTTTGTTTCTTGATTTTGTTAAAACTTTGTATGATATTTTGCTTTGTTGTTCTACTACTTTATTTTATTTTTTTCTTTCTTATATTGATTCCTTGACTTTTTTTTTATTTAGATACTTTATTGCATCTTTCTCTTCAAATTTTTTTATAAAATTCATTTCATACTGTATCTACTATACTCATTATAAAATTTTTTGTTCTTGTACTAAGATCAAAATATTTTTACTCTCTTCACTAAATTTTCTTATACAGACCTTTAATAAGCTTTTTTCTTATTTCTGCACTTTTTTTTTCTGTTTGATCCCAGATTATTTCTTTTAGTTATATTTAAATAATATTCTTTTTCTTCTCTTCTAGAAATATGTTTTATACTATTGTTATTGCCAATGTTTTAGCTTTTACTTAGTAGTTTTTATAAATTGATTATGTTACTAAATAATCCTGATCTTCTTTTTTTCCTTTTTTGCAAACTATATAATTTGTATCTGCATACAGATTTAGTTATTTTATTACTAATTCCTTAAAAATAGGCATTTTTTTTTGTATACATTTAAAAAATATATTTATTCTTTTACTTTTTATAGTCAAGATACATTTTGTTTCACTTTGGTTCTTGATCTTTTTCATAATAGTATCCAATAATGTTCATTTTTTTCTCTTTCTGGTTTTCTCTTTCTGGTTCTAGTTTTTTAATTACTAATATACAGCTTTAATCCACATTGTTTCTGATATTTAAAACTTCTTTAACAAAGTCTTGTATTGGATTTTTTATTACTTTGTCTTCTCAACAAAGTATTACATTAGATCTTGAAACAGATTTTTCTATAATTTCATTTTTATCTTGAATATTTACTTCTTTTTTTGCTACAATATCTGTTCTATTATTTTATCTATTGTTACTATATTTCTTTACTTTTATTAACTCTAAATCTAATTTTTTTGCTTATATTTTATCCTTTATATTTATAACTAAATTATAATTTTTTCTTTTTATTCTTTTTTTTATTATTATATATTGTATATTATTATATATACTTACTATAGCTGTTGCACTATCTGTATATATTTTAATTTTGCTTTTGTTTAGTATTATAAGAACTATACATCAAATAGCTAGAACTCTGTCTTTGTTGAAGAAGGCTATTCTTTAGTACCAATAGCACCTTTATCTATTATATACTCTTCTTTTTTGTATACTTGTACTCAATTAGCTTCTATATAGTCTGGGTCTTAATTTTCTTTTTTTTCTTTTAGTAATAATTCATCTATATAAAAGATCAACTTTTCTTGCTTAATATTGTTTTCTTTAATATGCTTATGTTTTTCTACCAGTAACTCTGTAATCTTATTATTAATTTTTTTTTAAATTATTTCAATATCTTTATTTTCTATATAAATTTCTTTTAAATATCTTTTAGAATTTGAGACCTTGCAATCTTTTTCTTATATAATAAACTCTAATATATTTATATTAATTTCTAGTTGATATACATCTTTTTTTTTTTTTTTTTTTTTTTTTTTTTTTTTTATTATA